ACACACACTAAGAAAAACACCTAACTGCGTCACAAGACAAGCCCTCACTTGGAACCCTCACTGTAAAAAGAAAAGAGGAAGGCCAAAGAACACATTACGCCGAAAAACGGAGACAGACATGAGAAGAATGAACAAACATTGGACAGAACTGGAGAGGGAAGCCCAGAACAGTCAGAGTTGGTTGGAGAAACCTGGTGGGCGGCCTATGCTCCATTGGGGGTAACAGGCGAAAGTAAGTAAGTAAGTACTTGGGGGTGGATAGACATCCACTGAGAAAAACACCCAACTGCATCACAAGACAAGCCCTCACTTGAGATTCTCAAGGCGAAAGGAGAATAGGAAGACCAAAAATAACACTTTACGCTGAGAAATGGAAACAGACATGAGAACAATGAACAACAGTTGGACAGAACTAGAAAGGAAAGCCCTTACATGATACAGTAGGTTGGAGGACACTGGTCGGCGGCCTATGCTTCTTGTGGGTAACAGGTGTAGTTAAGTAACTGAGTGATAATAGTATGTAAATCGGGAAACTAGTTGTTCGGTATGTTTCACTCCATTTGAGGATCATAATTAAAATACAGTTTTCTACTTTCAATTTTATATTCGAATAGAAGAAAATACAACTCATTTGTACAAACTGTTCATGAATTAAAGATTTGAAGTGTAGTATAGTCTAGCCAACAACGGAGTGTCGAACACACTCTGAACAGTAATGAGATGAGCAAACGAAGACATGGTCATAATTAGAAGAAGGGTATAATTTATTAGACTCTAAGTTATAGATGACGCTTAAGTAACTCCGAAGTGACCTATAAAAATTCGCCTAATAACCCGGGTCGACAAAGGGTTATGCATTAGTGTGGTATTTGAGGTTAAGAGTTACAGTTCGCGTTTTCCTGACAAAATGACATCAGTTATAATGCTAAAATGATAATCGACCATATGAGTAAATGAATTCCTAGTTAAAATTTACAACTTGCTACCTTTAACTTTATTGACTGATTCATAAATTACACTCTCACCGTATAGCTTGTATTGGTTGTTGGTTAAATAATTATTGAACACAACAAGGTCAGTTAGACTCCGTCAAAGTGGTGGGCGTTTAAATTTAAATAATAATAATGGTCACTTGATTTATGTGCATGACTAATAACATGAAACATGTCAATAAATGTCAACAAATCATCACAAAATATTCACACATTGAACTTAATCATCAACATAGTTAAAACCTTTTGGCATTAATTACTGAATTTATAATTTCGTCGATAAACTTTCAAATCGAAAAACCATTCATTATGTAAATGATAACCGAGCTATGAATACTCAGTTGTACTGTGGTGTGCGCTACTTATAAGTAGTATATGACGTGAGTGTCAACGTAATGTCTGGCAGCAGAAGATGGGGGAAGATTAAGAAAAGAAGACAAGGGAACACAATGGAATTTGTATGAAACGCATGAATAAGTGAAATGTCAGACAATCGATTGATGATTGATTGAAGATTTGTAAATTAACGGTTTACGATATGGTTTTCCTATTTTACTGAGTAACTCTGTAATTTTCGTTAAACATAATTCGGTTGCCCTCACCTGTGTTCTCCTTCACTACAGTACTATTGGTATATTTAAGTACTTACTCAGTGTTTCATGACGTTTTTAAATAATGCTCGTTCTCCATTACTTGAATGGGATACTAACATGTATAAGGTGAGCATTGAACGATTTATCTGGTATACAATTCACTCCCTCTATATTAGAAGATACCCAATCAGCATTATTCCATCAGACTTCAACACGATTCAGATCAAGAACATGTGATTGGTCTGACAACGTGTATTGGTCAGTAAGCAATAGTAATACATGGGGGTAGGAAATATGTATGGCATCTCAATCGATCAGTTTGTCCAAAGTAAACAACCGATTACTATTTTTTTGTTTCTCGCTCACTCAAAACAAGTTTCAATGCAAATTTATCTACATGAAATGAGCTTTATGAAGTGAATCTTTATCATTTTCAAATAAGCTGACAGCTTGAAATCATAAACCACTACGATTTCTACAACATAAATATGAACATGAAAACTTGTATAGATGAGGATTTCTATTGAATATCAAAAACACGTCAATACTTGCTTGTCAGAAAGATAGATAATTGGTACAAACTATTTGAACCTGTGAATTACACAACGCAAATAAGCGTAAAAAGACGATAGGTGAGAATCTACTTGATCGTTACCATAAATCAAAATGATATCTAGATACACTGATATTTGTAGACGATATTGACATCGACCAACAGTTAGATTTGTATATATTAAACTAATCAGTGTTTCACATCAACTACTCAGTTATTTCCTTGTTTAGAGCACTTTAAGGAAATCTTGAATCGACCAGCTCCACTGAACACACCCAACATCGAAGCAGCATCCACGGACCTCCCAATTTATATTGGCTCACCTACAATAGAAGAGATCAGTATGGCCATCAGACAAATCAAGAGTGGCAAAACAGCAGGACCAGACAACATTCCAGCAGAGGCAATGAAAGTAGATGTAGAAGCAACTGCCAAAATATTTCACATCCTCTTCAAGAAGATTTGGGATGAGGAACAAGTACCATCAGATTGGAAAGAAGGATACCTCATCAAAATACCAAAGAAAGGCGATCTCAGCAAGTGTGAGAACTACACAAGCATCACTCTTCTTTCAATACCAGGCAGTCTTCAACAGGGTAATGTTAAACAGAATGAAGGACTTCGTAGACGCCCAACTTCGAGATCAACAGGCCGGATTTCGTAAGGATCGATCGTGTACTGACCAAATTGCAACATTACGGATCATTGTGGAACAATCAATTGAATGGAACTCACCACTCTACATCAACTTCATCGACTACGAGAAAGCATTCGATAGCGTGGATAGGAAAACACTGTGGAGGCTTCTCCGACACTACGGTGTGCCTGAGAAAATAGTTAACATCATACGGAATTCTTATGATGGATCATACTGCAAAATCGTACACGGAGGACAGCTAACAGACTCTTTTGAGGTGAAGACAGGTGTCAGGCAAGGTTGCTTACTCTCACCCTTTCTCTTTCTCCTGCTCATCGACTGGATTATGAAGACGTCAAAATCTGGAGGGAAGCACGGTATCAACTGGACAGTTAGGACGCGGCTGGACGATCTGGACTTCGCAGATGACATGGCTCTTCTATCGCACACGCAACAACAAATGCAGCAGCCGAAGCAGCAGTAGGTCTCAACATACATAAAGGGAAAAGCGAAATTCTCCGACGCAACGCAACATGCACCAACCAAATCATTCTTGATGGAGATGCCTTGGAGGACGTCAACACCTTTACATATCTGGGCAGCATCATCGACAATCAAGGTGGATCCGATGCAGATGTGAGGGCGCGGATCGACAAAGCAAGGGCTGCGTTTCTTCAGTTGAAAAATATCTGGAACTCCAAACAACTTTCAACCAAAATCAATACAAATGTCAAGACAGTTCAACTGTATGGAGTGGAAACTTGGAGAACTACCAAAGCCATCATCCAGAAGATACAAGTGTTTATTAACAGTTGTCTACGCAAAATACTTCGTATTCGTTGGCCAGACACCATCAGCAACAACGAACGGTGGGAAAGAACAAGTCAGATTCCAGTGTAGGAGGAAATCAGGAAGAAGCGGTGGAAGTGGATAGGACACACATTACGAAAAGCACCTAACTGCGTCACGAGAAAAGCCCTCACATGGAACCCTCAAGGCTAAAGGAAAAGAGGAGGGCCAAGGAACACATAACACCGAGAAATAGTGACAGACATGAAAAGAATGAACAAACATTGGACAGAACTGGAGAGAGAAGCCCAGGACAGAGTTGGTTGGAGAAAACTGGTGGGCGGCCTATGCTCTATTGGGGGTAACAGTCGATTTCAACTCTTAGAATCTGTGTTTATCCTAATAAGAGCGTTTGATTATTCCTATTATTACTATTACTAGCATACCTATCGTTTTATTATGAATATGTATTACTATGCATTAATAATAATTTGCGTAGCCAGCCACATTGGCACCATTAAGTCACATTTTGATCTTTCTACATTTTGTACAACTGTACATATGATATAATTGAAAGCAACATTGTGTCATATGTTCTTATTACGAAGTACATTGATAAAAGTCAAAGAATTTATAAACATAAGTAAATTATATATATACCAGATAACTTAAACGAATCAGAACAATTTCTTGGTGAATGTATCGTTTTACATAAACAAATTTACCGTCTATTGTAATCAATGATATAACCAGTAGTCAAAACTTTGAAAAGTACATTTGAAATGACTAATTTCTACCCTACATCAGACAAAACTTTATAAATGGAGGTTAATTTTTTGTTTAAGATTGAATAAATAATACTAAATATGCTAATTAGGTTAGATGTGTTGTGTGTGTGTGTGTGCGTGAAAATGCTAGTATATAGTGGTAATAACAAGTTAAATATTGTAACCAAACAAAACAAAATGTCATACACAATAATAATAATAATAATAATAATGACATTGAAACGAATAAGCAACAATTACCGGTTTAATGTTCCATTTATCTTGACATACTACATTGGCATAGATGTCTATAATTTTCTGTCTGGTCACATGATCATTCATAAACTGACTTGGCTAATGTGGATGGTGGTGGTAGTTTTCTAATCAACTTGTGATTGGCCGATTAGAACATGTATGTTTTGTCGACCAATGATCATTTTACATAAATATTTGGCTTTCAAATCATCATTGGACAAATTAAAATTTTGAATGTTTTGATTGTAAAAGGTCATGGACATAAATTTCACGCGATTGGTGAGTATTATTTCAGACTTAAAACGAATTATTATTTGAATCAACAGAAACACATTCAGCATATATCAATTCAAGGTTTCTCGTTTGTTGAGCTGATTACTCTGGCCGGATTTTTTTTCCTTCGACCGATAAGTTATGTTGATATTTATTCGTGGTTTATCTGGTGCAGTTACACCTGTCAATGTAAGTCCACATGAGAGCGCATTGTCAGTAAAAATAAGGATGTTTTACTTGAAAAGTAAGTTATTTTCTTTTGTGAACTTTATATATTTTTCACTCGTTTTAATAACCTTTATGAAGAGGTCTTTTATATAATCTTATCTTGAGTTAATTTGTTTTTTTCATTGAAATGTACGTGAATGTCTTTGCTCCGTTTGTATCAAAACTTTTAATTCCTAGAGATTTATAATAAGGATAAGATTTAAATAGCTGCATGGTTACCTAAGGGACTCTAGTATTAACGTTTTTCGTGTGACCAATTTTCGCTACTGGTAGACGCAAAATATATTGCTATGTAAGACTATAAGTTGCGACGTAGAATACATTTTAAATTTAAATCTTCAGATGATAAATTATTTCATCGATCGATGGGGAAACGCGGCGAGCCTTCTAAACACTGAATTATCAGTAATATTGATCTGTCGACCTTGAATGTTATCGTAAGATTGAACTGTAATGACTAGCTTGAGCGTCTCTTGAAAAAACGTTGATAATTTCTTGATCCGTTCAACCATTCAAAAGCCACTTGTGAATTATTTATGACGCATTTAAAATAACGTCTCTTGTGTTTCTGCCCCAAAATGCATTCATCCCTAAGATACAAAATATTTTTCCACTATACCTGATATCATTTTGCGGTGTAAACACTGATTCTAATTCTTTCACGTATTTAATCACTGGTAGACGACGTGTTGCCTTGAAATACCCTCTATCACCTTGAGATGACTGACGTATTCATTTCCTAGCCTTGATAACTCGGATTTACCCTCATTTAATTGATTTTACGTTAAACGTGATAACTATTAGCAAAATTTCATTGGTGTAAATGCTCCACGCATGACTTCGTATTGTTTACAACTTATATGCCAATGTTCCAGGTAACAATTTTGTGTTTAAGATAATAAATATCTCAGATAAAACGTGATTCTAGCAACAAAAAAAATAACTTTTTCGTCCTTGACTAACAGACATACGCCATCGACTGTTTTGCAGCTGCCTACCTGTCTGTATATAATTCAAAACTGGCAGCGCATTTTTCATTCAGTACGTGTTAAACTTCAATTTTCTTTTTTTTTAATTGTTCAATGGAATTCACAACCTACTATTGATGAAATCGAATTATTTAATTTAATCTAAAGAGCTGTTGATTTCATTAATCTGAAATATACTTGTATCATTAGCTAGTGTAGATATATAGGGGATATGATACTAAAAAATTAGTCTCATTTGGCTCTACTTTATTGATTCTTTTAATTCCTCAAAATTACTTTTTTTTTACTTTTTTCCCGCGTATTTATTGATACATTGATCCCCTTAAATGAGTCATCAAAAAAAACTCGACGTGCAAAATGACTGTGAAATATAAGATGAATCCGTTTTATTTCACTGGTTTTTCATCAAGTACATTCAACTTAAACACAATCAATCACAGATATAAAATTTTGCATATATACATACAAGACCACTAACTAACAGACTAGGGAACAATTAATCTCAGTAATAAGCAAGATTCTATTGTGTAATCGTGTAGAAAAAAATGATTCAAACTGAGCTGAATCAATATATTGATTAGCGCCATACATACATATTGTTTCGTTAGTTAATTTCGAAAGAGGAAAAACAACTATGTAAGTTCCGTTTGTTCGGTTCTCATCAGAGCTACTACTTACAATGAATATTGATTTGAAATAAAGAATTATGAAATCGATTAAAGGCACAGAAACTGAATTGATATAATTTGATTCACATACTGTTCCTGTAACTTAACCATTGTCAGTCAGTCGGTCAGATGTAACGTAGAACTTCGTATGTAAGTACATCAGTTCATATTGCCATACCACATCAGCACAGAGATGTAATTGTCAATTCAAATCCAATAGTAGAAGAGGTAGTAAAGGTATTAGAAGTAATCGGAGAGGTTAGAATTAGAAGATATTATTCAAGAAGTTATGATTCAGTGAGAAAAGTTTAGAAAGTCAAAACTAGAGGTGCTGAACAATCCAGAAGATTAGGATTTGAGAGAACACAAAGAATAAATGCACCGGCGCCATTGCAAACGATTTTGAGTCATGTCATTCAAGGTCTCTAACCATCGATTATTATCATCTCGTGGGCCCCAACCAGGTATTCGACAATTACCAACATGGCTCAGTCCACTTGTCAGTGATTTCATGGATTTCTGCCATGTTTTGGTTTGGCCATCCCTAACTTTCTTCCAGCCTACTCCTACACCACAAAACAGAGCTCGTCGAGGCAGTCGGTGGTTAGGAATTCGTAACACATGTCCCAACCACCTCAACTGATGAAGTTTCAATACTTCATCTATTGATCTGCCATTCTTACCTAGCACCTGTTTCCTAACAACAGCGTTGCTTACTTAGGTGTCCCAGGATACACGAGCAATGCTTCGAAGAGACCTATGATCGAAAACCAGTAACCTACGAATATCTACTACTCTGACTGGCCATGTTTCACGGCCATATAGTAGGACGGAGCAATCTACTGTGCAGTACACTCGTCCTTTAGTCAGCAAACGAATATCTCGCGCACGTTATAAGTGATGCAAGTTGGCAAAAGCTAATCGAGCCTTCTATATCGGTGCTGAGATTTCGTCAGTCACCAGGCCATCAGCACTGATGAGACTCCCCAGATAAGTGGAGCGGTCTACACTTAACCATTTTAGAGAACTAGGAAAGATTGAAGAATTGTTTCTTCTATCATTATGAGACTCCTTATCAGTGTGCACCCAAATATCCTCACCACAAACAATCGAACTAATTCCAATTTCGTTAGCTATCCACCAGTCACTGTAAAAAACTTGTAATGTTTATTAATCAAAGCTACAAATTAAGTTGAATGAATTCATCTAAGGAATAAATGTCATCACTGTTTCACATAGTATAACGAAAATCAGGATGAATGTGTGTTAAATAGATTCCAAAAAACATTTTCCAAATATAATATTGAACTAAAATAATCTACAACATTGATGATGATGAGTAGCAGTAAACTACCATTTGGTTAGTTATGTAATGAGTACAATTTAGTGATAATACATATTACAATGAGTAAACTTGAATTGATGGAAAATCAAATTATGAGCTTGGCAGAGTGTGTGATTCAACTGACATAACAAGATAAACAGGAAGTCAAGAAAATGTTACGTAATTAAATAGGGGTTATATTGTGGTGCGCGCTACTTATAAGTAGTATATGACGCGAGTGTCAACGTAATGTCTGGCAGCAGTAGATGGGGGAAGATCAAGAAAAGAAGAGTGGGAACACAATGGAATTTGCATGAAACGCATGAATAGTGAAATGTCAGACAATCGAGATGATGAACTGGATTGAAGATTGACAAATTAACCGTTTACGATATGGTTTTCCGATTTTACTGAGTAACTCTGTAATTTTCGCTAAATACAATTTGGTTACCCTCACCTGTGTTCTCCTTCACTACAATGTTATCAGGGGGAAGAAGAAAGTGATTGGTATCAAATTCTTATTTGAACTCATTAATCAGACATCAATTGATGCATAGAAATAACTTGAGCAACTCATAAACAACAGTTTCTTGTCTGTTCTGCTTTGAATCACTTTGATGATCTCTTAACTCACCTGCAAATCGTTATATTGAACTCAGTTATTCCTTTTGCAAGCCTTTTGAAACATGGTAAGAAAAAAAGTCAAAGGCTAATATTCTTCACTTTCTACTATCAATGTAGTAGATTTCAAGAGGTAAACGTAATTCATTCTATATACACACGAAAATGAAATACCCTTGTTGATGTTTGATTGAATTGGTAAAGATGTTGTTTCTATCAATCATTCGTAATCGTTTAAGTTGAGATGAGTAGTAGAGATTGGCTTTTTACTGACTTTAGTTCCTTTTTCTCCATTCTTTTCATCTTTTTTTGTAAATTTATCAATAAACTTTTTTTTGGTAAACAGTTATTTTACGTTTACTACGATAAAACCCTTTTGTATGTGTGCACATAAGAGTGAGAAAATCCTTTGTCCATCCAATTTCCGTTATTTAATCTTATTTAATCTTTGATCCAAGATAAGATTAGTGTTAATATTTACTTAAAATTCTATTCCCTGTTTTGATAACTATTTCGCTTTACTGGATGACCTTTGATCAGAACGGCTGTCATACTGATTAATCGTTCTTTGATTAAATTAAATGGAATGGAATGGAATTTTTTGAGTTATTCATTTTTTTGTAGATTGAGGCACATTTGTAGTTATTGACCTTAACAATTCTTAATGTTTTTGTGAAGTTGTTATCATTCTGTTTTAATGATTCATATCTGGTTGTAGATTAAACTAAGCTGGTCATTATAGGAGAGATTTATGATTTTACTTGACAAGATTATCGATTATTTTCTGATAACTAATCTTCATAAAATTCTCTTGCAAAATCAAAAAATGTACTCACTAGTGACTACCTTAGTGAGGTTTTCGGAGTCATATAGTGAGAAGACACAACTAGTGGAGTTCAACCTTGTTGTGTATAGGCAGTAACTACCAGAGACAATGGGTAAGATTGCGCAAAACTCTTAGATTGAACAGACTTAGACATTAACACTGTTGGATGTCGGTCGGCCCCATGATCCAGAGGTTGGACGTTCGCGCGCAAAACTGAAGGTCCTGTGAGTAGCAGGAGTGGCGGGTGCGCATTTCTTCTGAGTCCCTAACTAGAACTTGACGGCTATGCAGTGCTTCCAGATTTTTAATCGTAATCTAACCAGGATTGATTCATGATTTCAAAGTAAATCTTGTCATTCATTATTTATCATCGGTTTTTTCTAGAAAAAGGGGAATTGGATTCAATTTAGGATCTTAAATAAGAGTGAATTTTCTAGTCTATTTTGTTTATGAATATGTTTGAGTTTTTTCACAGTAATTGCATATATATATATATATATATATATATATATATATATATACTACTAATTTGTTCTTGTTTTATTTTATTTTTTTCTTATCTAAACACACTACTAGATATACCTATACATGATCAACATTTATTATACTCTGGTGTTGAATTAACAGATCAAACAATATTATCAACTGTAAATATTGGACATGGTGCTTTATTACTCCTTGTTTTAGGCTTAAAAACTGGACCATTAGGTCGATATGATTTATGCTCATCAATTCATCAAAAATATTCCACTGGTGAAATGTCATCACAGTCTTATTCTCTTTTGAATACCACTACTACTAATAATAATAACAGTAGTAATGACGAAATGGAATATACACGTTTATTATCCCTATTGACATCTTCTTCTTCGCCTCATTCATTTACATCATCATTAACTCCAACAGTTGTTTTCCCATCGACCATGTATATCACAACACCTTTGATCAATACAACATCGAATCAATTAAAACAAATGGAAACAAATCTTTTCGTGAATTCATTGGGATCCTACAATAATGATGAGGTTAATCATGATAATAATGAGATTATTGATAATTCCAATCATTTCATATCATCGCATGAAGATGATGATGCTGATGATGATGACGATGATCAAATCAATCAGATTGCTGAAATTCTCGGTTATGCTATTGATGAAAATGAACATTTGTCATTATCATCTTCATCTGCATTGTATGATGTAAGCAATGAACATCAAATGTATAATGATACTACTGATGAAATGAATTGTCAGTATTATTATAATAATGATGAACAATTATTTCAGCCACAATTTCATTGGTTAATACCATCGAACTATGTAAGTATTTGTTTTTTTGGTAAAGTTACTTACTTATGTTTGTTACTCCTAATGGAGCGTAGGTCATCAACTAGCATTCTCCAGCCTCTTCTCTCCTGAGTCTTCTTTTCTAGATCTGTTCATTTGTTGTTCATTTTTCTCATGTCTGTCTCCAATGTGTTTTTTTGGCCTTCCTCTTCTTCCTATTCTTCGACTTTGAGGATTCCAAGTCAGAGCTTGTCGTATGATGCAGTTGGGTGCTTTCCATAATGTTGTATATCCCGTCCACTTCCAGCGCTTCTTTCTGATTTCTTCCTTTGCTGGAATCTGGTTTGTTTTTCTCTCTCACAGTAGATTGTTGCTGATGATTTCTGATTTTGATGTTGGTTAATAGTTGTTTTGGGTTCCAGACGTTCGTTCCAATTGTAGAAATGCGCAACCCTTGCTTTGCCAACCCGCTCCTTCATATCTGCACAAGATCCACCTTACTCATCACTGATACTACCCAGATATTTAAAGGTTTTTACATCTTTCAAAACTTCTCCGTCAATTTTGATTTGTTTTGTGCATGTTCCAACCACCTCAACTGAAACTTCATCAGTTGAGGTGGTTGGGACATGTGTTGCGTATGCCTAACCACCGAATGCCTCGACGAGCTTTGTTTTGTAGTGTAGGAATAGGTTGGAAGAAAGTTAGGGGCGGCCAAACCAAAACATGGCAGCAATCCATGAAGTCATTGACGAGTGGACTGAGTCATGTCGGTAATTGTCGACTACCTGGTTGGGGTCCGCGAGATGATAATAATCGATGGTTAGAGACCTTGAATGACATGGCTCAAAATCGTTCGCAATGGCGTCGGTGCATTTATTCTTTGTGTTCTCTCAAATCCTAATCTTCTGGATTCTTCAACACCTCTAGTTTTGACTTCCTAAACTTTTCTCATTTGAATCAGTACTTCTTGAATAGTATCTTTCTAATCCTAACCTCTTCGATTACTTCTAATACCCTTACTAACTCTTCTACTATTGGATTTGAATTGACAATTGCGTCTCTGTGCTGATGTGGTATGGCGACATGAACTGATGTACTTACGTACGAAGTTCTACGTTGCAACTGACTGACTGTTGTGTTGTATCGTATACATGAATGAGGAAGAAATTCTTATTTGCTGATTGAGTTGTTGTTTTATATGTATACTGACTAATTTATGTTTCATTGAAATAATGAATCGATCAATGTTAGACCACCATTAGAAATTTCAAAGCACTGGATGGCTGTTTTGTCCTGTTATAGAACTCATCAGCATTGCGCAGCCATGATCATCCAACTCAGGACCTTCGACTGTTATGTTTGTGTATAAATCCACCAGTGGTGTATGTTACTTTGTAAATGCAAGATATTTCTTGATCAGTCATGAGAATCTATCATTTGACTGATTTCTAATTGCTGTTATGTATCTCTGTTCTGTGTTTGAATTTAATCAAAGGTGTGTTATTGAGGATACCAAATTTTTCTGATCATTATGTCATATTATTCGTCAAAAAATATCACACAGCTAATACTTGTAATAGGGACAGTGACCGATAACATGTCATGTCCAAAGTTGAAGCTGAATAGTACTTTATGAACGATGAGACTAAAAGCAGCTACTCAAAGTCGGAGAGCGAAGTCGTACTGCTGACTGCAGAGAGGTGTGACAGCAGTACAGTGTTTCCCTCGGACAACCAGCATCTGCGGCGATGCTGCCTTCTCATCACAAGGAAGGTAGGGTTAGAAAAGGTCGACCTTAAAAATGTCACACCTCACCTTACCTCACGGATTTCCGTCTTCGGAGGTAAGGGCTGCCTAACAAGGGCTTTAAAAGAGCGGAGCTAATACTCGAAAAACCTTTCATAAAATGGCCATACGTGACCGGCCTCAAGCAGTTGTCCCTTGGGCTCTGCAGTCACGCTGCCAGATCTCTAATCTACCTTCTTTTTCAGGTCCCTTAAGAAAACTCCTTCCACAGTGTGGGCAGCGGGGAAGTGACAACCGCCCTCATACCCGTAACAGCACACTTTATGAAAACCGGAGCTTCTTTTTTGTGCTAAATATGTCGCTAACATTTTTTACAAGATTAGTTGTGTTAGTGGTTTTACTTCTACAACCTACCTACTCTTATTGCTTAACAATCTTCGATACTGTAAAAGTTCCCAACAAATCCCCCAAACCAGAAAACGTTGTGAACAGGTGGTTAATTATACTTTGACAAATCGAATTCAACGCGGAAGGATTATAGTAATTGGAAAAAACCTTAGTATATTTATAAATTTTACGCTCAAGAATATTCTCAAGTCTTCTACAACTATCCACTAGCACTGATTGGCTAATAATGTGCTAGTCAACACGCTCTCACACAATCCTGTCAACAAGTTTAAAATGATTGTAAACAGTAAACATGATTGTTATAGTGTGTAGTGCTTATTGAATTCTGTTGATCAAGTACATAATTTGATCATTAAAATGAGTCATTTAGCAATATGTATGCACTGTGTCAATGTTTGTCTTAGACGTTTAAACATATTTTAACTTTTAGTCAATAGAATTACCAATATGCAGCTAAAATTCGGCAGAAACAAACACGACATTGATTATTCTGTCACACTCAGTGATTATTCAGTGTAAATACTTCAGTTCTATTTCGCTGTTCGAACAGCTCACAGTTTGTGGTAGTAATAGCATGAAAACTAGGAGGTCGTTCAAAGACTGTCCTGTTGACTTTCTCCAATTACCATCACATCTCGACTATATAGCACGTAATGTTAAGTTACTTGACTAACAACCGGCCAATTCCAACTTGATCGATTGAATTCAGTCAGCATTAGAAGAAGTAATTGACATGCATAACGTCAATCAATCAGTCACTTAGCTGCAACCTAGAACGTCGTACCTAAGTACATCAGTTCAAGTAGTCACACTATATTAGTACACTGGGATCAAATTGTCAATTCATATCCTATAGTAGTAGTAGGGGTTGTACAAGTATTGGCAGTAATGAAGAAGATTACAGTTCGAAGAAATTACTCAAGAAGTATAATCCAGTATAATCCAGAACTAAGAAGGAGAAAAAATGATCATGAGCAATTTGGAACGCTATTGCAAACGATTTTTAGCCACGTCCTTCAAGGTGTCTAACCATCACGGACCCCAACCAGGTAGTTTACACCTGCTAACATGGCTCAGTCCACTTGTTAAGTACTTCAAGGATTTGTGTCATGTTTTGGTCTGGCCGACCCTAGCTTTCTTCCAACCTACTCCTACATCACAAAACATAGCTTGAAGAGGCAGTCGTTGGTTGGGCATACATGACACTTGTCCTAACCACCTCAACTGATGAAGTTTCAATACTTCATCTATTGATCTGCTATCCATACCTAGTATCTGTTTCCTAACAATAGCATTGCTTACTCGATTATCCCAAGATATACGAGCAATGCTTCGAAGACACCTATAATCGAATACTAATAACCTACGAATGAATATCTTCTACTCTAACTGACCATGTTTCACACCCATAAATTAGGACGGGGCGAACTCCTGCACAGTACACTCTCATCATCATGACATCAATCAAAACTTTTACTAACACTAACCAATCGTAAATATAAAAATTCAAACACTTTTGTATTTTTCTTCTTAATTCTCAACTTTCTTCTTCTATTCAGAATTTCACGCAACATTTACTCAGCATACCAGAAACGAATTCACATTTATTATGCAACAATATGAATTCTAACAATCCTGAAATCAATACATCTATTCCTACTACTGCTACCACAACCGCCATCATCAATACTGATCTCCTGAATTCTTCCGCTGATCAACTCAAATCTAATTCCCACTTGTGTTCACCTTCTTCAAAGCAGTCCTGTTTATCTTCACCAAATGTCAATGTTATTGTCGATAATGACAACAATAATATCAGAAATAATCTTACACCCATCGGTATCCAAAAATCTATCCCTAATAACAATGAAACAACTGCTATCGTTGTCCGTGATGTTGATGGTGTTCATTCCGACAGACACTGTTCCAGCTCAAATACTCTCCCGTTATTGAATACTACTACTACTACCACTGCTACGACTATATCAAACCCACCGATTTTATCCAATGAGAATTATCTCACAAATTTATTAATCAACAACAATAATTCAACTAATATTCATTTCCTCAATCCATTGTCAATTAGTTCGCCATGTTCATATTCATTTTATTTAACTATGCAAATGAAATTATCCTTATTGTTCAATAGTCAATATTTGTCTAATCATTCAATATCATCAGATATTAATGGTGTTGTTATGAATAAAAGAAGAAGTAAATCACCTGCAAAGTAAGTGATATTTATTAAATCCTTCTTGATTTGTGGTAGTCGTCGTGTCTGCCTATCGTGATGACTCAACCACCGAGGCTATATTGGCTGGGACATATGTTCCTGTAGGTCCTCAGTCAGTCAGATGCAACCTAGAACTTCGTGCGCAAGTACATCAGTTCATGTCGCCATACCACATCAGCACAGAGATATAATTGTCAATTCAAATCCAATAGTAGAAGAGGTAGTAAAGGTATTAGAAGTAATCGGATAGGTTAGGATTAGATAATATTATTCAAGAAGTATGATTCAGTGAGAAAAGTTTACAAAGTCAAAACTAGAGGAGTTGAAGAATCCAGAAGATTAAGATTTGAGAGAACACAAAGAATAAATGCACCGGCGCCATTGCGAACGATTTTGAGCCATGTCATTCAAGGTCTCTAATAATCGATTATTATCATCTCGCGGACCCCAACCAGGTAGTCGACAATTACCGACATAGCTAAGTCCACTTGTCAATGACTTCATGGATTTCTGCCATGTTTTGGTTTGGCCACCCCTAACTTTCTTCCAACCTATTCCTACACTACAAAACATAGCTCGTCGAGGCAGTCGGTGGTTGGGCATTCGTAACACATGTTCCAACCACCTCAACTGATGAAGTTTCAATGCTTCATCTATTAATCTGCCATTCTTACCTAGCACCCGTGTCCTAAAAACAGCGTTTATCACTCGGGTGTCCCAGGATATACGAGCAATGCTTCGAAGACACCTATGATCGAAAACCAATAACCTACGAGTATCTTCTACTCTGACTGGCCATCTTTCACAGCCATAAAGTAAAACGGAGCGAACTACTGCGCAGTACACTCGTTCTTTAGTCAGAAAACGGATATCTCGTCTACGCCATAAGTGACGCAGGTTGACAAAAGCCAATCGAGCCTTCTATATCCGTGCTGAGATTTCGTCAGTCACCAGGCCATCGGCACTGATGAGACTCCCAAGATAAGTGAAGCGGTCTACACGTTCGACTACTTCACTCCCTATCACTAGTTCAGGTGCCGATGAAACCCAATCTTGAAACAACAGTTTGCATTTCGAGGAGGAAAACCGCATCCCGAACATGCTTGCATTGATGCTTAGGGTAGTCAGAAGACTCTGTACTTTGTCAGCGTCTTCACCAAGTAGGACAATGTCATCGGCATATTCTAAGTCAATAAGCGAGCCACCTGGTAGAAGGTCTACTCCAGAAAATTCAGACGAGGATAAGGTTATTTCTAGGAGCATGTCTTTGATAAAATTAAACAAGAATGGAGAAAGTGGACATCCCTGACGGACACCATTTGAAGTGAAGAATTCCGATGACAGTTCACCATAAGCTCTCACTCGACCAGTGGTGTTCGAGTAGAGAGCTTGCATAAGGTTAATGTACTTCTTTGGTACACCTTTCAATGACAGACACTGCCACAGAACCTCACGGTCCACTTAGTCAAATGCCGCTTTTAGGTCCAGGAAAACAACTATTGTAGGACGTCTAAATGTGTGTCTATGTTCCAGAACCTGTCGTAGTGTGAAGACGCGGTCTATACAGCCACGTCCAGGTCGAAAACCAGACTGGTTTTCTCGAGTGTGCTCTTCACGAGCTTTCGTTAAGCGTCGAAGTATTATTGAGGTCAATATTTTAGATACTATATTAGTTAGACTTATTCTCCTGTGATTGTCACAAGAAGAAGGTTCTACCATACCAAGCAGGTCGATTGAAGAACGGATGAGAGTAAAAGCAACAACCTAAGGTCTGAAGGTGAAGTCGTACTTTTGACTGTAGAGAAGTGTAACAACAGTAAGGTGTTTCTTTCGGACAACCAACATCTGCAACAATGTTGCCTTCTCGAAAGTAAGGAAGAGGTTAGAAAATGTCAGCTCTGAAAATGTCATACCGCACTGATTGGCGTCTCCGACCGCAGGGCCTTTCAAAAAGATCGACGCTAACACTTTAAAGACTTCTCGTAAGAAGGCCGTGCGTGACCGGCCTCAAGCTAATGTCCGTTAAGCTCTGTGGTCACGTGTTCTCAGGTGTCTAAGACCAACACTAATCCAACTTTCTTTTTACGTTCCTCAAGAAGAAACACCTACGGTTTGGGTAGCCGAGAAGTGACACGTAACATCACACGAGACCAAATCGGTTGCATTCAAATCCTTCTTGCACCTGACTGATTGTTTATTAAATGAAATGGAATGTACAGTGTCGAACTCAGGTTTCATCTCACTTCAAACTCGTCAGCTAGATATGTATCTGCATTTTAGATTTCATGTCCACTCAGGGATTTGAACCCAGTAACATTTCGTTCCAAAAACTAAAATACTATCCAATTAAAAGCACTGTGATGCTGACGAGTCCGATACTGAAGAAAATGCGCGTCTTAGATTATATCTATTCTTTGTAAATATAGAGTCATAATAATAACCTCATCGAGGCAATTCATGCAGGATGCATATATGTCAACCTAAGACTGATCAAAATTCAATTTCGAATACCAACAAGGGAAACACTTAGAACTACTACTGTGGTGTGAGCTACTTATAAGTAGTATATGACGTGAGTGTCAACGTAATGTCTGGCAGCATAATATGGGGGAAGATCAAGAAAGGAAGAGTTAGAACACAATGGAATTTGTATGAAACGCATGAACAGTGACATTGGATTGATGTTTTGCAACAGGAACAGTCCAGTTCGATATGATGAACTGATATTTTGCAAATTAATGATTTACGATATGGTTTTCCAATTTTACCGAGTAACTCTGTAATTTCGCTAAATACAATTCGGTTGCCCCACCTGTGTTCTCGTTCACTACACTACTACTACTCTCATTTCAAACTAATTTCTTCGTGGAATTTCCTTTTGAAAATGATTAAAACTTTTTCCAACTCTGTTCACTCTTTCTTTTTTCTCTTTGGTATCATTCCTGCCGTTATATGTTGACGATGCTCCAGTTTTTCATCCTGTAATGAATCAGTAATCAAATTAATCGATATCGTTTGATAATAAGAGTCATCGATAAAAATCTTTATATTCGTTGTTTACTGCATGTCTACTAGTTTATCTATCGCCTCAGATCCTAGACTTTAACTAGTGATATACTTCAACGACTGGTCGAGATAATCTTGAAGTGTTACTTGTCAGGAATGCGGTTTTTTTCATTATCAATTGACTAATAACAGTCAGAATAAAACAGAACAGCACAAGAGGCAAATAAATTTCCATTGTACACATTGCATGACTGAAATCCATACATTGAAGGATATAGAGTGACCACTCACGTCAATACAATGAGACCTTCACAAATACAGGGATAAATAAACCTTAATTAGAAGAAATCTAAATAATAGGTTCGTAATTAATTGACAGAAACTTCAGAAAAGAAGAGCTAATAACCATAGTTTATGCATCAAAAGTAAGCTTACAATTAGGGGGATAAAAGCGTATCATACATCAAATTATCAATATTTATCCTGCGAAGATTTAAATGATGTCTTCAGGGATATTCGTAGGTTACTGGTTTTCGATCGTAGATGTCGAGAACACAGGTGGGGGCAACCGAATTGTATTAAACGAAAATTACAGAGTTACTCAGTAAAATAGGAAAACCATAGCGTAAATCGTTCATTTGCAAAATATTACTTCATCATATCGAACTGGACAGTTCCTGTTGCAAAACATCAATCCATTGTCACTATTCATGCGTTTCATACAAATTCCATTGTTTTCCCACTCTTCCTTTCTTGATCTTCCCCCATCTTTTGCTGCCAGACATTACGTTTACACTCGCGTCATATACTACTTATAAGTAGCTCGCACCACAGCACCACAAGGGTACTAGATAAGGATGACAGATCAATTGATGAAGTATTGAAACTTCATCAGTTGAGGTGGTTAGGACAAGTGTCATGTATGTCCAACCACTGACTACCTCTTCGAGCTATGTTTTGTGATGTAGGAATAGGTTGGAAAAAAGCTAGGGTTAGCTAAACCAAAACATGACACAAATCTATGAAGTCACTGACAAGTGAACTGAGTTATGTTGGTAAGTATAGGCTACCAGATTGGGATCCGCGAGATGGTCGTAGTCGATGGTTAGCGACCTCCAATGACCTAGCTAAAAATCGCTTGCAGTGTCAGAGATTCACACATTCTTTGTCTCCTTGAATTCTAAACTTCTGGATTCTTCATCACCCTCATCTCTCTCTCTCTCTGTTTAAGTTTATTTCACTGGTTTATACTTCTTGAATAATATCTTTAAAACCCAACCTGATAATTCTTGTACAACCTCTACTACTATGGGATTTGAATTGACAATTCGTTCTTTCCATGTCCTAATGTGTTATAGCAGCTTGAACTAATGTACATACGTGTGTACGATGTTCTAGGTTGTAACTGACTGACAGACTGACTCAGGTTAGAATAGTTCCGAAAGTTCCGTTGTACTCTTGTCCCCCGAAAGCCAGATAGGTAGTTATCTTAGGAGATTACCGGTTAACTTTTAAATTGAACGTCCACATCCCACAAGATTTTGGAGGCCATTCAAATTGTCAGAGTGAAATCCGTTTTTGAAACTCCATAGGTGAATGTTACTTATCAAACAACATGTTGAGGCGGAATATAGGGATTTCTTGAAGAGGGTATGAATATTTTGTCGTTCGAGATAGTTCCAAGATAGAAAGTGTACTCTCTTCCACCTTCATTACGTATTTGGAGTATCTGGGGGCAGGGCATAAACTTGAAATAAACTCACTGAACAAATTCATGAATACATTTAATATCGTGTCACCATCAAGACACGATGATGAGTAAAGAAATATTTCTTTTCAATTAATTCTTCCTCAAGGCTTTACACTAATAATACAACATCTGAATCTACCCTGCCCTTCTCGTGCTGTTACGGGTATGAGGGCGGTTGTCACTTCCCGGCTGCCCACACCGTGGAAGGTTGCTTCTTGAAGCATTGCTCGTATATCGTGGGACACCCGTGTTAGCAACGCTGTTATTAAGAAACGGGTGCTAGGTAAGAATGGTAGATCAATCGATGAAGTAATGAAACTTCATCAGCTGAGGTGGTTAGGACATGTGCTGCGTATGCCTAACCACCGACTGCGTCGACGAGCCATGTTTTGTGATGTAGGAGTAGGTTGGAAGAAAGCTAGGGACGGCCAAACCAATACATGGCACAAATCCATGAAGTCATTGACTAGTGGACTGAGTCATGTTGGTAGGTGTAGACTACCTGGTTGGAGTCGGCGAGATGATAATAATAGATGGTTAGAGACCCTGAATGACATGGCTCAAAACCGTTTGCAATGGCGCCGGTGCATTTATTCTTTGTGTTCTCTCAAATCCTAATCTTCTGGATTTTTCAACCCCTCTAGTTTTGACTTTCTAAATTTTTCTCATTGAATCATACTTTTTGAATAATATCTTCGAATCCTAACCTTTCCGATTACTTCTATTAGCTTTACTACCTCTTCTACTATTGGATTTGAATTGACAATTATATCTCTCTGTGCTAATGTGGTATGGCGACATGAACTGAGGTACTTACGTACGAAGTTCTACGTTGCATCTGACTGACTGACTGACCCTGTCCTTCTGTATATAGATACTGTTATGAATTACCAAACTTTTCTTTCCCCCTTCCTTTAAACTCTTCTGCAATTCGATTTTATTCACATTTTAATCGCCAATTCTAATCTCGTGTAACCTGATTAATTATCTTAGTATTTCGTGAATAAAAACATAGCCATTTCTATTTTTTGCATCTCATTTCAATTTGTATTCCTATAGTTATGTAACTATTTGTATTGATTAAACAATGACGTAAATTCATTTCAGTGTTTATTTTTTATTTTACAAACGTTACGTAGCTAACAAACTAACTAACTCACTGACTGATTATTTATATTGTTACATTGTCTCAACTATCATCTAACTGGTATCAGTTTTCTAACTATTTGTTAAACATATATATTACACATTCAAATCAATCAAACAATCATTCTTAGACCACTATTGGAAACCTGAAAGCACTAGACGGCCGTTTCGTCCTGTTATGGGACTCGTCAGAGGCAGTGTGCATCCACGACTCCTGGCTACCCGCAGGATTCGAACCCAGGACATTCGGTTATGCGTGCGAACACCTTAACGAAGAACTGATTGATAAGAAATATTTCTTATTGTATCTTGTCTCTCAAATATCTCAATAGGAATATTAAATCAATAAATATTAAGGTCTTCCATTGTTAACCTATATTGATTGTTTTCTTAAGATCCAGAATAATAATCCTTTTGTCAAAAATGGATTCTAGAAGTTTGTGATGGATGAGTTTGTTACCCAGTGAACTATGTCACAAGTGTAATGTATGCTTCTGAAAGTCCGAACTTCATCCACTGTCTTCAATGAGCACTACCTCATACATGAATAGGGTTGAACTCTACTGGTAACGACTTCTCGTTAGAACTCGGAGAAACTTCCTCATGGAGCTGCTAGTCACTATTGAAAACATGATAATTTGCATTATAAGGTTGTGGCGATTATTCAGGTACTTTGAAATCATGAATTGATCAATGTTAAACCACCACTATAAACCTGGAAGCCGTCCAGTTGTTCAGATTGTATTATTTTTATAGTTGAAATTTCAATCTGATCTTACTTAGTTCATCATTGAAAACCTGAAAATATTAGACTACCGTTTAGTCCTAGTATGGGTGGGACTGCTTAGCAGTGGACATCTACGACTACATACTGGGGGCTTGGAACTCAAAACATTCGGTGTTGCGATCTGCTCAATCGTCTAGAGGTTATGTTCTTGCTCGAGATCGAAGGTCTTGTTTTCGATTCTCTAGTGCAGGCTCGTAGATGTGCTCTACTAATGAGTCCCACACTAGGACGTAATGGCCGTCCAATGTTTCCAGTTTTTCAATAATGTGGTCTAGCTAAGATCGACTCGTGATGGAAGCTCCAATGAGACAATTTTTTTTCTATTCAATTCTTTTTTCTCATTATTTTCTTTTCAACAGTAAATCTTCCAAATTATCGCTGAATCAAAATGATTTTCCACAGAATATTACCGAGAAATTATTAACTCCTATTGATAATTTTTCACAAATCTATTCATTGAATACTACTGTCACTAATGATACATCTTCATCAGATTCACTTCAATCATTATCATTGCCTTCTTCTCACACTGCAACTACACATTCAAATCAATCCAGATGTTATGAATGCCATAGACGAACTCGATTAGCTTGTGGTTTTAGTTGTCGGTAAGTTGTTGTGTGCTACGCTTTGATGTTTGTTTGTTGCTGTTGTTGTAATATGATCTTGTTTATACGACTTGACTATTCTTATAGCTGAGTATTCTTCAAACACTGTACAACTGCTCGACTGATAAATCCTCAAAACCAGAACACGACTTGAACAGGTAGTTAATTATATTTTGGCAAAACCAAATTAAACGTGAAGGAATTATAGTAATTTGGAAAAAACGTTAGTATGTTTATATTCTCGAGTCTTCTACAACTAACCACTTGCATTGATTGGTTGATAATATGCCAATTAGCGTACCTCAAAATAATCCTGCATTGGATATACGTTAATTGAACTTATATCCTACTAATTGTCAGTCAGTCAGTCAGCTACAACGTAGAACGTCGTATGTACGTATATATCAGTTCAAGTTGACATGCTACATTAGCACACAGAGATTGAATTGTCAATTCAAACCCCATAGTAGTAGAGGTTGTTGAAGTTAGCAGTAATGGAAAAGATTAGAGATCGAAGATATAATTCGAGAAGTTTAACCCAGTTAAGTAAATTTACAAGGGTAAAAATGAAGATGGTGAGGAATTTTGAAGATTAGAATTTAAGAGAACACAAAGAACGCATACACCTACGCCATTCCAAACGATTTTGAGCCCTGTCATTCAAGGTCTCTAACTATCGATTACTATTATCTCACGGACCCCGAAGCAAGCAATCTACAGTCAGTCAGATGCAACGTAGAACTTCGTACGTAAGTACATCAGTTCATGTTGCCATACCACATCAGCACAGAGATATAATTGTCAATGCAAATCCAATAGTAGAAGAGGTAGTAAATGTATTAGAAGTAATTCGAGAGGTTAGTATTAGATATTCAAGAAATATGATTCAGTGAGAAAAGTTTAGAAAGTCAAAACTAAAGGGGTTGAAGAATCCAGAAGATTAGGATTTGAGAGAACACAGAGAATAAATGCACCGGCGCCATTGCAAACGGTTTTGAGCCATGTCATTCAGGGTCTCTAACCATCGATTATTATCATCTCGCGGACCCCAACCAGGTAGTCGACAATTACCGACATGACTCAGTCCACTAGTCAATGACTTCATGGATTTGAGCCATGTTTTGATTTGGCCGCCCCTAACTTTCTTCCAACCTACTCCTACACTACAAAACATAGCTCGTCGCGGCAGTCGGTGGTTAGGCATACGTAACACATGTCTCAACCACCTCAAATGATGAAGTTTCAATGTTTCATCTATTGATTTGTCATCTTTACCTAGTACTCGTTTCCTAACGACAAGATGAATACATTTTATTGGATTATTCAAACCGAATTAAAAATCGTGGTGATTATTAATCGAACCCAATAAATATCAATAACATCTACTTAATGCTGTAAGCATATGATGAATAGCATAAAGATGGAACTATAATAGTTTATTTGAATAATTTAAAAAAATATTGATTGGTACCTTCAAGGTTAACTAATTCGCTATTCTATTGCTAATAATTGTACTATCGCTATCACTCTTGGATTTGAACTGACAGTTATGTCTCTGTGCTATTGTGGTATGGCAACCTGAACTGATATACTTATGTACGAAGTTCTGCGTTGTATCTGTCTGTCCGTATTATCATAATTCGTTTGATGCACATGGCTTACAGTCTAATCAATAAGTAATGACTAGTTGTGGTTAAAAAACACATTTAGACATACAATCATATTAGTAAGTACCTAATAAATTTTACGCAAATAAATTTAGTTTATACAAAGAGACTAGGTAAGAATTATTTATGTCCTATAGCAAGTAATTCACCATTCTTTTTACTAATCTATATTTGAAGCCCGAACGCGGCTGCTACCTTGACTGACTTGTAGTGGTCGAAATTGCTTATCTCGATGACTCAACCGAACTATATAGGCTAGAAAACCTGTTTCTTTAAGTCTTACCTGTTACGCCTGCACATAAACACGTCAACTTGGTATGCTTGAACTTTTACGAGTTTACCTAGTCGGAAAACGAGAGCGAGGATCCGGCGACACGACATGCTACTCAATTCGATTGTCCTAACCTCCCAATTGAATGAAGAAGAAGAAACTTGATATGGAGTAGAACGTGTATTCTACAAGCATCCAGAAAGTACGAGGTCCGAGTCCAGAGGAGAATCAGGATCCCGGATTAGGGATCCGGGACCGGGTCCTGGTCCTGGTGGTGGTCATCAAACGTTGCAGATAATGCGTATTTATACATTTAGGTCGAATAGGAAACACCATCGAATTCTGTGACATTGACAGTTAAGACGACCAACAACATTTGAAGTGACATTGATAGTCAGAACAACCAATAAGACACAATATTGGAGTACGTGACAGTGATTTCTAGGACGACCATAAGATTGACCAGTAGGAATTAACGAACAGGAGTTGACCAATAATTGTCTTAGGATATTGGATGAATATCCTAACATTACCATACCAGGCAGTCCGGTCGAAGATCGGTAAGATTAGAAGCAGCAACTTGAGGTCTGAGGCGGATGTTGTACTACTGGCTGTGGACGGCTATGATAACAGTAATGTGTTTCTCTCGGATAACCGGCATCTGCAACGATGCTACCTTCTCACAACAGCAGGAAGGGGCTAGAAAATGTCGGTCATAAAAATGTCACACCTTACCTTACTCCACTGATTTCCGTTACCGTTGGTAGCGCTTTTTGAAGAGTTGAGTTAACACTTTATAAACTACACCTAAAAAGGCTATATGTGACCGATCTCAAGCAGCTGTCCCTTGGGTTCTGTGGTCGTGCTCCTAGAACGACGCTAACATAAACTCTGGTCCAAATTCCTTTTAAGGTCTCAAGAAAAAATGCCCTTCCATGGTATGGGCTACCAGAAATTGGAATCCGCCCCCATACCCCTAACAGCCCACAAAATCAATTCGTCCACAATCGAATCCTTCTCTCATCTCTTAGTAACTCTACTATACCCACGACTAAACCTTCTCGCATAACTTTATCATCCTGCACCGCTGATGCTAGTGATTCCAGTCCACGAAATGTTCTTCCTGATCTCCTGAAACCACACTCTAAACTACATACTGGAGGTTTTAATGCCAAATAGGGCAACAGGCTTCCTTATTTAGGACTTTAGAATCTCTCTTCATCGATGTATGCTACGTCTCCGAAACGTGCATACAGGATGTGAGTACAGTCATTCATTTGACCTCACTTTGTCGAAATAAACAACCGTGGTGTAGGGATAGCATTAGGCCCAAAGACAGAACTAGCTTTCCGAGACTGGATTTCATTAGACAGTCGTTTGTGCGCTGTCCTACATAACAAGGCAGTATATCTGCTTAAGCTCCCACTGATTGCGGCTCAAATGAGGTAAAAGATGAATTTTACGGGAAGCTTTCCAACTTTCAAAGAAGCTAAGTGCAGTAGGAGTGGCTGGTGATTTCATTGCTCAAGTAAGGTAGAACAAGCTAAACTGAAAGACACCTAGTTGGATCTTATGATGTCTCGGCTGGTCGAACAAATAATAGCAACCGTCTGCTGTAGCTTTGCTCAGATAACTGCCCATTTCTGGCAAATACCAACATTGAGCAAAAGGAAAAACATCTCTTGACATGGCAATCCCCAAAATCGACTCAACGCTGAACCCAACTAGACCACATTACTATCAGCCACTGATGAAGATGATCGATAGTTCAAACCACTAACTGGGTTGAAATAGACTACTATTGAAGATATGGAAGCACTAGACAGTCATTTCATCTTAATGTGGGACTCTTTGACTGTGCACATCCACGGCGCCGTATCTGTGGTCTTCATCACTCTAATTGTAATGTTTTGCGGTTAGACATTTCAAATGTATTATGGTATGAGTTAAGAGTTTTGATTGAATAAAGTTCAACAGAAATCTAGTCTACTCTCTCTTGGTTAATCGTCTAATTGAACACTATGTTAGAAGGATCTCTAAGGTCAATAAATCCTAATGTCTTGGTTGTTTTTGGTTAATGGACGTGTCAAAACTGATAAATAAAAGTTCACCTATCCTACTAGCAATATAAACGAACTAATCGATAGTGGATCAAGACAGAAAGAGAGTGTTGTGTGTGTGACTGAGAGAGAGAGAGATCATACAATTGCTTTCTTGTTCTTACAGATTTTTTTAATTTGGGCATCAACAAAAAGTCAACTGTCTGTTTTTTGTCTCTTCGTTATATCAGTAGTCAGTAAAAAAAAAAACTGTACTCCCCAATATTCCAGTTAACATTGATCTCTCTTATTGGCTTATTAGTCAGTCAGTCAGTTGCAACGTAGAACTTTGTACGTAAGTACATCAGTTCATGTTGCCATACCACATTAGCACAGAGAGACGTAATTGTCAATTCGAATCCAATCGTAGAAGAGTTAGTAAGGGTATTAGAAGTAATCGGAGAGGTTAGGATGAGAAGATATTATTCGAGAAGTATGATTCAGTGAGATAATATTAGAAAGTCAATACGAGAGGTGTTGAAGAATCCAGTAGATTAGGATTTGAGAGAACACAAAGAATAAATGCATCGGCACCATTGCAAATGATTTTGAACCATGTCATTCAAGGTCTCTAACTATCGATTATTATCATCTCGTGGACCCCAACCAGGTAGTCGACAATTACTGACATGGCTAAGTCCACTCGTCAATGACTTCATGGATTTCTGCCATGTCTTGGTTTGGCCTGCCCCTTAATTTCTTCTAACCTATTCCTACACTACAAAACAAAGCTCGTCGAGGCAGTCGGTGGTTACGCATACGCAACACATGTCCCAACCACCTCAACTGATGAAGTGTCACTACTGCGTCTATTGATCTGCCATTCTTACCTAGCACCCGATTGCTAATAACAGCGTTGCTCACTCGGGTGTCCCACGATAGGCTTATTAGTTCCAACATGGCTTTATCATTCTATCCTTGTTTGATATACTTTATCGTTACCTACCCTATCCAAGGTATCTG